TCCTTTGTTGACAGTAAAATCATTTTTAAGTAAAATGTCAACACTAACAGCTATTTATGCATTTTAAATGCTTTATTTTATTATAAAAAATGAGCCTTTACTTCTGACTGCATTTTTAATAGCATTTTAATATATAGGGTCAAATCCTGTAATCTTTAGTCCATTGCAATCCACTCGATTTCAGTTAAACTAATTATTCAATAAGGTGCAGATTTTGTAAAGAAAGTAGCATCTGCCTACAATCTTAAGAACTCCCTCAATTCTCTAGCCTTCCCCCTCAACGCAATAAAAGTATTAGAAAACTTTGCACTCCTAATCCTTTTTAAGAGGAAGAGAACAGAGGGGCTTCAAGCCATTTTTTACTTGAGTGAATTTGTAAGTAGAAGAATTATCTTGGACAACATGCCTTAAATCCTACACAGAAAATGAATTGAGCAAGCATGTGTAACATTCTCTGAGGGAGACCAGTTTAAAAAATTGCAAAGCTAATTGCTCACCCTTCTGTTTCTAGATGGATTTGATGGAGCTGGTGGACAAGTCTACAGGAGACAGCTAATGCCCATTGGACTAATTCTATTGCACATTAGCACAGCTAGCAAAAACTGTGCTAATGTGCAGTAGATTAGTCCAATGAGCATTAAGTGTCACCAAAACATTCTTTTGTGCTAATACACAGTAGCACCAATTATGGCGCATTAAGTTTAGTGCCTGTTATAGTCCAAACTAAACTTAATGTAATACACATTTTCAAGGTCAACCTTTTAAGTTGGCCTGCCCAGAGTAGAGTACTGCAGCTATTCTACTTCTGTCTCAAACGTACAGAAAGCATACGGAGTGGGTACACACAGTAATGCAACAGTGGTGGGCACAAATGGTTGACACTGCTCACAGAGCAGGGAAGTGTTGGAATGGAACCAGAGAGACATCTTACACGCTTATCCCTTATCCTCCCCTTCCCTTATGCTCTGCTCCTTCCCTACAGCAAGGACTGCATGGCTAGTAGTCACTGCTGTTAAGGAAGATGTCGCTTGTTTTGCTGCTGAAACCCAGGGTTTTTTAACTACTCAATATGCATGTCAGCAGCAAGAAAAGAAGGCAACATCTCCAGTGAAGTTCCAGCAATTTCAGCATGGACTGCTGTTGCCACTAAGGGCACAGTACTGGCCAGTTAGACCTCTGGGTACCATGGTGCTTAAGACTTAACATGACACAGGGTGACGTCTCAATCCTACTGCCATTAACAAAATTTGGTCATCAATAGTAGTGCCAGGATTACACCCATACTATCTAGCCATGAGGGATGTTGACTGCCTCAGCTCTCGTTTAAGTCAATGGGAATTTAAGACACCTGGCATTGTACTGAAGTGGCGCTCTAGCTTTTCTGTCTGCAGTTAATACATCTCTGAAGGTCTGTGGCAAAAGTAAATGACAAAACTGTATGTCACCCTGATTAATAGATTTTAGAGAAGTAGGGCTGAAAGGGACCTCAAGAGATCATCTAGTCCAATCGGGGATGGAACCTGCAAACTTAAATAGCTCTTCTTACATGCAAGGTAAGAGTGATAAGCTGTGAAAAAGTATATACACAGTCACTAGGCAGTAACAACTGTGCGTTTCCATGATTTATGTTTGCTGTA